TAATAGCATCTTCAATAGCATCAAAGGAGCCAAAGTTGCTATGAAGCTCATCCAAAAAAATCATGTAGGAAAATTGTCAGACCGGCAAATTCTGTAGATTAGAGTTAAAGATGACATAGTTAACTTTGTTGGCATCTACTGTGAACATAATAGATCTGTCATTGAAATTCAAATGCAGAGAGATGATAAAAGCCTTCAGTTTATGAGAATCAGAGCTATTAAAGAGTTTCAGTTTTTTGATCTTGATGCAGATGGTGGCTGGCTTGAGGCTATTGAAAAAAATGAAAACTCCTCATAGTACATGAATTCTTATAATGTGTTTTGCTGATTTGTGTTGTTATCTTTAGGACTATTGAGACCACCAGGACCATCAGAACTATCAGAGTTATCAGAACCACCTGAATTATCTGAATTAGCTAAAAAGAGATTTGGTAGATTGTTGCCAAGTCCACAATAGATGAGAGTATGAGTAGAGGTGTTGTCATCTCTACACTCTGAGTTTGGGCTATCTAAATTTTTATACATGTTGCTCAAGAAAAAGATATCTGTATTAGAGTTATTTCAGATGCCATATATCAGACTCTATTAAATAGAATGTTAATAGTATCAAAAGAGTTAGAGAAGTTATTATAATTAAATTAGCAGATGGTGAAGTTAGAATAAGTGTAGGTTTCCTTATGAAAGAGTTATTCTCCACTAAAGACTAATCTGAAGAGGTCTGATTGTTTCTTTGAGATGGAGATTAGAATGTCTTCCATAGAAAATATGTTGGAATAGATAGGCTAGATTTGTTTGGGATCAACTTCTGTAGGTTGAGTGAATGTGGTAGACATATTACAGAAAAATTTTGATGCAAAAAGTGGAGTTCAAATATACTGTTAAAAACATACTAAATAATTAAACTTGAATGGACACATCAAGACTAGCAGAGTATATGAGCATTAATGAAGCTATTAATAATGTTACTTTTGAATTAAAGTCTAAGAATTTGGATTGAAAGAACAAAGCTCTGTCAGAAAAGTAAAAAAAGATGTCTCTCAGAGTGGAATCTGACAGACAAGATAAAGAGAAGCTAAAGTGAGCACAAAGTGTAGATAGCTATCTAAGTTGATATTCAAACTAAGTAATTACAACAATTGTATATAGTTTATATACTGATGGTAGTTAATTCTGAGTTGAGATTTATTAGATTCTAGTGTCAACTTGTTTACTACTATATTTAGAGTCTAAATACTATAATGTGAAATATAGATATGAAATGATAATAGTAAAATGAAATTAGTAGGTAATAGAGAATAAGTAGAGTTTAGTGGAACTTTGTGATTAAATTTGTGGTTGGTTGAAATAATATAGAGATCATCAGCATCCATGTAACACTGAGAATCTTTTATATTCATCAAGAATATAGAATAATATACTCAATTAGTAGATCAGAGATCTTTATCTGCTAATATGATCATTACTTAATGTGTTAAAGTCTTAATAGCTAAGACAGAGTCTATTGAAAAGGAGTTACAAATGCTACAATAGTATGCAGAGAAAGTAAAAGATGAGACACTAAAAATTTAGTTCAAACAAGTTGAAGTGTAAGTTTTATTAGTATGTACAATATAAATGCATCACTAAGAACTCCAATATTCTTTCACCATTGTTCATGCTATTTTCTTTATTATTGTTTCTGACTTATCATATCTATTTTAGATAACAAAGCAACAATGTCACTCAGACTTTTACAGTATATAAGTAGAATATTTTTATTATACTGTCTCAGTTTGTCTGCAACATTGCATCATAAATAAGATTGTTATTTTACAGATTCTATATATTTATAGAGCTCAAAACAATAGAGATAAAAAAATAGTTACAAACTAGAGAGATTATGCACAAATTCACAGCATCTTATATATCCATTCATATTGTCAGAGTTGAATATTGACACTATACACTTATAAATAAAGATTAAATCATGCATATTGAAGCCAAGTGCCCTTCTAACCTTTGAGATGAGTTTTATCTCACTATACAGTATCTTGACAACTTGATAATAATTAAATCTTTGATAGGAAAAATACCTTTCAAGATGTGACATAAGAGGAAACTTAATTTATCTCATTTATGAGAGATAGTGTGCAAGGCATTCATATTAATCTAGAACCAGCATAACTCAAAGACTCTGAAAAGATCAGTTGAGTGCATACTAATTGGTTATAAAGCCCATGTAAAAGCATACTAATGCTATTACCTATAGTTCTAATGTATTATCACTTTCTATTATATATCCTTTATTGAGAGCCATCAAACATCAATACCTGTGGCTCAGACATCATATCATCCTGAGTCTGCTAATACCACACTTGTTTCTACTAATTCACACCTTATATATTCTTCTGTTTCCTTAAATAATCCTCTCTCTGAGACTTTTGAACATTCTGTTGACAATGAGCCTGCACCTCCTGCTATTAAGCCAGAAATCTTATCTGAACTATCTGTCTTTGACTATGCTGAACTTTCTTTTTATGATGACTCTATCCCACTAGTTCAGCCTTAGAGGTCATTTAGAATATAAAACATTGACCATAAAGTATTTAATCATCTTGAATGTGCTGTTGAGAAGGCTCACCAAGCTGAGAAGCATGTAAAGAATGTGTGAAATGAGCAGCACTATGTCATGCTAGAAATAATGACTCAGATCAACATGTATAACTCTAAGGCTGCTGACAATGCTGCTAAGGAAGAATTAAGGTCATCATTGGATAATGCATTAAGCCTTAATCTTGTACAATACCTTGATATTGTATTTATAGCAGTTGAGCAAGAAGTGTACCTTCTGGCTGAAAAATCAAAAAAAAAATAGCCTCTCTTTAAAATTAAATGCAATGAATTTAGAACTGCAGTCTGCTGAAAAATCTGTCTCATTTTTAAAAGCTTTGAACAAATCTATGGCTGAGACTATATAAAAACTACTTCTCTTACTATTCATATAGAATTTTAGTGTATTCTCTTATATTTGGCTACTACTTTTGACTGGGATACTCAATAAATTGATGTAAAGACTGTCTTTCTTTATAGTCTCTTACCTGAGAATGAAACTCAATATATGAAACAACCCAAGAGATTTGAGGAACCTAGTAAGAAGAACTGAGTCTGAGAGCTTCAACATAAATTATATAGAATGAAGCAGAGTGGTCATATATAGAATCAGACTATGAATGAAACCATACTATTTTAAGGTTTTATATGTCTCAGCAGTGAGTACTGCATCTAGTATAGAAGATTGCTGCTGAAGTTGTCATAGCCATCATATATATTAAAAACTTCCTTTTTATAGCCAGTTTGAAGGAGAAGAACAAGTGATTTAAGCATCAAATGCAACAGAAATAGACAATCTCAAATCTAAATAAAACAAAGTTCTGTATCAAAATCATTATATCCAGAAACTGCACCAATAAAACTATCTCATTCTTTCAGACTGCTCTTATCAATAGAATCACCTCTCAATATAATCAAAAGAACATTCACTCCATTACAACTTTTATAGACTCAGATCTGAAACTCTGTCACTATGATCTCTCTCACTTATCTGCAGAAAATCAAACTATTCTACAGAAACCACTCTATTGTTCACTTATAAAATTATTTATCTATCTTGCAATTGAAACTAAATTAGACATTGCATATACAGTCCAATAATTTTCATGCTTTCTTGATTGCTTTATCTTTATCCATTAGAATGCTGCTATATCAACATCAAAAACAATATAATAGACTGTTTTATTAAAGTCTTATAATCTGCACAATTCACTCACCTTATTATATTTATTTTAGATAACAAAGTAACAGTGCCACTCAGATCTCTACAGTATACAAAGAGGACATTTTCATTATGCTGCTTCAGTTCATCTGTAATACTGCATCATAAATTGAGATTGTTATCTTACAGATTCTATATATTTATAGAGCTCAGATTTTAAAAAGTCTCACATTTAGTTCACCAATCCACTACATATTTTACAGATAAAAATTTAATTATTGAGAAAGTCTAAAAATTCACAATTAGCTAAACTCATTAAAGCTATTGGAAAAACTATTAGAGCCAGTTAAAAAGCTACAACAGAACCAGTAAAGTCTATAACAAGAAAGAAACTCTTCTTAAAGAAAATGAATTTAATTGAGACATTATCTCAATTTCTGATGATACATCAGATCTTAACAAACTTTCTGGATTGGAAAATAAAGATCTGAAAATACATTTACCACAGACTTTAGAAAAAGATACTATAGAAGTGGATTTTATTAAATTCTTTACTCTTGCAATTGAAAAAAATACATAAACTAAAAATTCACAGAAATAGTTACCTACTGCAGTCATACAGCTAGTCATAGAAACTATAACTCTTAATTAAAAAAATAATATCTCTGAAAATATATATTTATTTGCTTTAATTAGACTGGCAAATCATGCTAAGTCTGATTACCAAAAGAAAGTTTGAAACTAAAAACCTGTCTACTATACTAAAGTATCAATTAAGGATGCTTTAATAGCCTAAAACATATATGAAAGAATGATGGATTCCACAGTTACATTATTGCAACATGAATTATTTTCTCTGTTATCTAAAATCTGTGATATGATAAAAGACAATATCATCAAATAAAAGGTTTCACTTACTATTGAGCATTTTAAGAATAATATTTTATACACTGAATCTGATATAATCAAGATCAATGTGCTTCTGAACAATTTTAAAATTAAAACTATGCTACTCTATAAAGCCTCTATTTCAGTAGTTCAAATTTTTGAATAGAAGCACATAGAAAAATTTTATGAAGTACTTTCTGAGAGATTCTTTATATTATAAGATCCCTATGAGGCCTACTTAAAGAAAGAAAAAAAAATAGATCTATTTAAGTGTGCAACAGAATTTATCATCTTAAAATCAATAATGTCAGTGGTAGATCATCAATTAAAAATCAAATGCATTATTGACTCAGACTTATAAGTCATTTTAATGTCTGAAGTAGTCTGTCATAATCTGAAATTATTTTATAACTCTACTGTGATAATAAACATGCAGTCAGCTAATAGAACATTGAATAGTTTGTTAGAGCTTGCAAGAAATGTTGCATTTTTATTTGAAGAGATTACTTTATATTTGTAAATATATATTATATAGTAATCAGTATATGATATTTTATTCAGTTAGTCATTTGATATGCTTACTCAAAGTATCATCTGAAATTATGAAAACTAGAATGAATGACTCTTATAAAGAAAATAATTTTTGATTAGAGGGTCAGCTAAATGATCAAGAGGAAGTAGCCTTAGTCATTGAATCAGACAAAGAACACCATTCTATCATCACTACATATGTTATTTGTTTTAAATTTAAAAATTTACAACTATCAGTTCAATATTTGATAGCTTGCAACCCTCTTAAAGTCAATATTCTCATCTTGCTCAGTAAAAAAGTCAACAATAGACTCTTAAACCATTTTTGGACTATCCCTAAATTTAAAATTTAAAAAAAAACATACTTATATATATGTAATAACCAGCTATAGAAACACAATTTCATTCAGTTACACAACCTTTTGAGTACATATACAGTCTATATGGCTCAAATATAAATGATGATACCAATTATAAACTCTGGTTTGACAAAGTAATGGCTATATATGCTAGTAAAAAGTATAAATCTATAGCTTTAAAGACAAAGCTAATACTAACCACTCTACTCAGAAAATTTAGAATAGTTCACAATATTAAAGGGAATCTGTTACATGCATGCTGATAGCCTCTGTGTCATCTCAACTAACTATAAATTCAATCATCAAGTTTCACCAGACTCTGCTTGTTTTCTATTATCTACTAATTTTATTTTACTATTATCATTTCACATCTGTATTTCACATTGTAGTATCTAGACTCTGAATATAGTAGCAAACAGCTGACATTAGAATCCAATAGATTCTGACTCAGAATTAACTACTGTTAGTATATAAACTATATACAATCATTGTAATTACTCAGTTTGAATATCAATTTGAATAGCCATTTACACTTTGTGCTTATTTCAGTTTCTCTTTATCTTATTTATTGTATTCTGCTTCAAAAGACATTCCTCTTTACTCCTCTAATGAAACTCTATTCTGTCAATCCAAATTCCTTGAGCCTCAACTCAAGGGTAACATTGTCAATAGCTTTGTTAATATCTATGCATTCTGCTGATCTCTGTGCATACACTCAAGCCCAATTGATTGGCACATTTCTAACAGTATATTTGAACTCAAACAGCTAACTCTGAACAAACTCAATCCAGTCACTCCAACATATTTTTCATAAAAGACATTCTGGTCTCCACCTTAAAGAAACAACCAGACATGTTTGGATTAGTCTTTAGTGGAGGACAACTCTTCTATAGAGAAATCTACATCCACTCTAGCTTCACTCTCCACTAACTCAACTATAATGATTCTTTTAATCCTTAAATTAATTATTGAAAGTCTAATGCAAATACTTTCATTACAAAGTTTTTATTTCACAAACTTTTTATATGTAAAATATTTCCATTATTTGCAAAATATATACATTGTTTGTGATGTCTTTGTATTATTTGCAATTTTTTTATATTATTTGTAAATTTTTCATATTTCTAGCAAAGTTTTTACTTTGCACATAAATAGTTTACTATATGCAAACTTTCTCTTTAAAAAAAAACTATGATTATAGTATACATGTGGCATCTTAATGTGGCCCACAAGGTCTATTGCAATACATATATCAGATTGGCTGTAGATGCCTAAGCTTTTCACAGCTGGCATATAAGAGTAATAGGCTACAGAGGACTAACCATGTGTTTAGTTAGATGTTTGTAAGGAATATTAAAAGAGCTAGCATACTATTAGCTATGCAAACTTTTAAATATACTAAATTTACTAAAAGTCTCACAATCTTGAAGGCTTCATGTAATAAAAAATTCACTATGCTTACTAAGCTAGTATAGTAATTACAAAGGCTGTTTAAATATTATATATTTAGTATTAGTAAACAGATAGCATAAGTAGTGTACAAAAGAAGAGAAGAAAAAAAAACAATATGAAGGTTACTTGATAATTATCCTAAACTGTATATCAGTACAACACCCCTCTAATAAAATTAATTTCACAGACCATCTACAGATTAATACCCTTTGACTGAGAGCACTATAGCATCTTAATAACTTTATGAGACTTGTATATGACAATAGCAAACTTATTAATTTGCAAAATATTAGCTTGTCTTGCTTCATTCTCAAAAACACAGAAGGAATCTATTGCTCTTGCATATTATCCTCACTCTGCTTAGACCTAACAAAAGACTTTGAAAAGTAACTAGACAACACTAACAATTTCTCTAGACTCTACTAGAATCATATATAAGATTTTGACAATAAAAGAAAAGTTTATGAATATACTGTGAGTCACTATAAACAATTCAGAGCTTTATACTCTTGTAGCTACTCCTTACTACACTTCTTTGGAGATTAGTCACCATATGAAGGTATACAACTAGACTTGCTTGAACCAGCCTTTAGATTCTGTGTTTTGATTTCACTTACTGTTAGAGGTTTTGTGTTTTTTACCTGCAGAGAGTCTGACTCAAATAATTTCTGATTTATCAATATTATGCCTCTTGGTCTCACTAATGCTCTGGTGACATTCCAACATTTTGTGAATGATATATTCTCTGATATGCTCAACATATCAGTAGTGGTCTATCTTGACAATATCCTCATATATTCTGACAATCTCAAATTCTACTATCACTTTATATACAAATATAGCAATATCATTATTTCTCTTATATGACTCATTCACAAAGGAATTTCACAGAAATTTGATGATAAATGCATGGCTGTCTTCAACAAATTGAAACAGGCCTTTACACATGTCTTCATTCTTACTCACTGGATCTCTGATTGAAGAATAATGGTAAAGACTGATGTTTTCAACTATGCAATTGCAGCTATTCTCTCTATCTATCTTGAAGATGGTGAAATTCATCCTATCACTTTCTGCTCCTAGAGTCTTCACAATGCTAAACTCAACTATGACACTCATAACAAAAAGCTTCTGGCTATCTTTAAAGCTTTTAAACATTGGTGCCACTATCTTAAAGACTCTGCAGACTCTATCAATATTATAACAGACTATAAGAACCTTGAATACTTTGCCACTATTAAGATTCTGACCTGCTGATAGATCTGCTAATCTGAATACCTATTTCAGTTCAATCTAGTAATCTGGTTCTCCCTAAGAAAACTTGGTGGAAAACTGAATGCATTCACTAAACAATGAGATATTTACTTTAAAGAAAGAGATAGCCAATATGCTCAAGTCAATTCTCATAATTTCCAACCTGTTTCATCTGAGAACAACCTTCTATATCACTCTGTGCAATTTATCTTGAAGGCTCTACTCTCTAAGCTAATGCCATTATGAACATTGACAAGCTTCATGTCAACATTAAAAAAGTACAACTCTCTGACCCTACATTCTCTGATTGCCTCTACCAGACCAAACCCACTTTTAAATCCTCTTTCTCTCAGTGGTCTATTGATAAATCTGATATCTTTCACTTTAAAGGCCATATCTATATTCTAGAATCCAATGATCTTCATCTCTATATACTACAGAACAATCACAATCACATTCTAGCAGACTACTTTAATCAAAACTGAATATTAGAGCTAATCTGATAGAATTACATCTGGCTAAGGGTGCATGAATATATTCAACACTATATTAAGTCATACACAGTTTATGGGCATAAAAAGACATCTAGACACTGTCTTTATAGGTTGCTCAAACTTCTACTGGTTTCTAAACAGCTATGAGATTTTATTTCTATAGATTTTATTAAACAACTATCAGACTCTAATAGATTCACCACCATTCTAGTAGTCATTGATCAGGCTAGCAAGTAAGCCATCTTTATTCTCACTCAGGACATTATTAATTCTGCAGAATTTATCTAACTTTTTGTTATCCATGTCTTCTCTAAGCATAGAGTATCCAGCTATATCACTTCTGACTGCAGCTTTAAATTCATTTCCCAGTTTATTCATGCTCTAGTCATAGTCTTTAACATGAAACTCCATTTTACTTTCAGTTATCATCTGGAGGCTAACAGACAAACCAAACATACAAACTAAACTCTAGAGCAATACATCTGCATTTACTGCTTCTACCAACAGGACAACAGAAACACTCTCTTATTTATTGCTGAATTTGCCTACAACAATGCCTCTAACATCTCTACTAGAATCTCTCTATTCTTCATAAACAAAGATTACCACTCTAATATTACTGTTCATTCTAAATGAGACATCATCTCCACTCAGATTTAAGACTTTGCAGTCAATCTTGATGAGCTTTATTAAGTACTAAAAGATGAAATTTCCAAAGCCCAGTCTTGTTATAAGGCTCAAGCAGACAAGCATCAGATTTCAACACTCTTATTCAAGATAGACAACAAGGTTTATCTCAGTTCCAAACATATCAAGATTACTTATCCAATCAGAAAATTCTCTGAGAAATACTTTAGTCTTTTTAAAATTCTAGCTCAATCTGACTCCCTCTCATTCACTCTCATTCACTCACCAGACCTCTGATCTATTTATTCAGTCTTTCACATATTACAGCTGGAACTTATAGAGAAAAATATCATTTCTAACTAAACTCAATCTCCACTGCCTTCAGTCAAAGTGTTAGATCCAAGCTGCACATGATCTTAGATACATGATAAACTGATATCACTTCACACTTCAAGTGGAATGACAGAGTTCACTGATGTGAATATAGATCATGATGTGATAAGATCTTAAAGATTAGCTTGAGAGTAAAATAGTGTATGAATAAACTTTAACTTGAAGCTGAGTTCCTCCAGCAAGAGCAAGCCTGCTTAAATACCATTACAAGTCATGCTAAGTATACTACTTTCTATTGTATATTTCTGGGTTCCTATACCCATTGTTCTTAGGTATTACTATTGTATACAAAAGGATGATTGTGCATCATTAAGAGTTAGTCACTGTGTTGAAGAACAATAACAGATTGGCTTGTTGTGATGACTAAGCTTCTCTCAGTTCTAAGTGCTTGTCTTAGCACTCTGACTAAG